GTCATGAGTGTCTAAAAATATTTTTAAAATAAGGCTTACAACATGTGCCAAGTTCTTGTATTAATGTTGGTTTCATAAGGTTTTGTTTTAAAATGTTTACAAATATATTTGACCTTTTTTCAAATATGAATTATTTAATGATAGTTGCACCACATATTTTACAACCTAATTTATAGCCTACATTTTATTTATTTATTTATTTTTTAATAAATGTAAGATTTATTTGAACTGCATTTAAATTGCCATGTATTTTGGATGACACACTTTTAACAAACTAATAAACGTAATATGATGCATGTTTGTCAGTCATACATAAATGAAACAGGTTTCTGTAACAGTACTAATAAACTGAATGTGTTTTAAATACACAATAACCAGGTTTATATATTTATTATAAATAAATCATTTTTCAGGAAGCGTTATTATGGACTACGGGCTTGTATTTTAGCCAGAAGCGACGGTTTGAAGTTTAAAATGCAACCCAGGGTCATTGGAAATAACGTGCTTGTGGCAACATTTCTGCAACACTGATATTACATATACCTTACAGCATGTTTCACAGCAGTTTCAAAGTGAAATGTCCATTAAGTGGCGCTAAAATGCGCTTTCAATGCGTGACCGTAGCACATTTTTATCATGTTGGTACAGGCACGTATTGTTTTTATTGCGTTTCTTCAGGTAAGTATTGCAGTGGCTCAGAATTCAAATGTCTGGGGAGTATTGCTACAAGGTTAATGCTCTATCATGTTGTTTTTGAATGAACTATTCCTTTTAGCGGTTCAGGCTGATTTAATTGCACGTTGAACACATTTTTACAGAATGTATTGTATGAGGAATATCAATAGAGCGCTGCACTGCAAACACTGTAATTACGTCCTGACAAAAGTAGCTGAACTTCGGCATCAACGGCTGACAGAGGTTACAGCAGGGCTCTAGAGCAGACAAAAGCACACTCCTTAGACGTCTATCAGCTTATTTCTGTCTTCTTCACTTCAGTGACATTTAACATGAAGGCAATTTTGCTCTGCAGACATTTGACCTCCACACTGTGAATAAAAGTCTGCACACAAAACCACAGTCTTCTGCAATCTAAGAAGTTTTCTGAGTAATGGTAATAAAAGGCTCGAGGCTTCATACCATATAACGAGGACATTAAAATACTCACAAAAAAAAAAAAACTAAAATTAAAAAAAAATTAAGATATATGTATTTGCATTGCAAACTGTGGATTACACAGTTTCAACATAAACTAACATAATTAATGTGATGCATATTTGTCAGTCATATATATTAAACATGTAACAATTTCTGTAATAGTACTAATAAACTGAATGTGTTTTAAATACACAATAACCAGGTTTAATCTAATATATTTAACTGAATATTGCTTGTTCCACAGCTAGCCATATTTCAACCATGTTCATACTTATAACTTAATATATTTCCTTGCTTTTACATTTAACAGATGCATGCTGATTCTAAGCAATGTGAATATAAATGCATTTTGAAAATATGATTATATAAATAAAATCAAATATGTGCAAATAGTTGGTAATAAACTATGGCATCATTTATTTGAGTGCCGAGATCCGGTTTATGCATAACTGACAAATATGCATCACCTTAAGTTTATTTGTTTATGTTGAAATCCAAATGCATGGAGATTTTAAATGCAATTTAAATATATAAATCTTAAATGTAGGCCTAGATGCTTCATTCAAGCCCTTTAACTTGGCTGTCTTGGAGTTTGAAGCACAGCAGGCGTGATGTGCAGCAGGAATGCAGACACACTGTTCAAAGCAGCACATGTCGCTTTGTTTCTGGTAGAAAAAGAAAACTGACTTCTGGGAGAGAAAATAAGCAGAAAGCAACAGAAGGAGCAATGAAAAGCAAGATAAAGACTCTACAAAGCCCGCTGGGGTTTCACTGCTGCTTAAGAACCAGCAAAGGAACCTAATGAACCCACTGGAGGAAATTAAGCAGGCAAAGCCTTGCACCGTGCCATCAGGAGGAGAAGCACTCAACTCAACCTTATCAAACATCCAGACTGCAGCAGAAAGCAAATCCACATGTGTTATTTTCACCAAAGTGCATCAGAGCTTCATTAACATGTCAGAAGAGCCTTGTGGCTTTGCAATCAAGATCTGAGGTTAGAAAGGGCCACAAAGAGCTGAGGTAGAGCTCGGCCATCCAAAACCTCCAAATGTCTCTTTCTGATCCTAATAGCACATCCCAGGATTATTCGAGGAGATGTTGATTCTTTTTGATTCTCTTCCTATCTTTGATGTGACAAAGAAGAAGATGAAAGTCGGTGCTAATAAGGAAGTAGCGAGCAGCTCATGTCCCGTTTTCTCAAACACTCAGTAACTGAGAAGAAATGGTTGTGCATCGAACATTGAAGAAAGTAATGGGAGGTCTTGATATCATGGGCTCAACTAATGATGATGCTCTTGAAGGCACATTTTTAAAATTCAACATATCTAATGTCTAAGGAAGCACTGAATAAAAGAGACACTCAACTGAAAGTGAAGTAAAATCCTAGGAGGACTGCAAGATAACTTGAACTTATTTAAATGCAATTAAAAAATGATGATTAAAAAAATTATAAATATTGACATTACTTTTATTTACTGAACCATAACCGCCATATTATATTATAAAAATAGTCTGAGCTAATTTCTGGATTGTTTTTCTATAAAGTTGTCTAGTAAAAATGTTGTACAAGCTGAAGTCTTGTCCACCAGACACAAATCAGACATGATTCTTAACCCTATAAAGCCTGACACGTGAAATAATAGTCATTTATAATAGTCAAAAAATAGTTGTTTTTAGGCTATTATAACCTTTTACTTTGCTACCACAATAACAGCTAAAACAGAAGAATTAATAGTGCTTTAATTAAATTATGAGCTCACATTTATGCTTCTAAATACCGGGCACATTTATTTCCATCGTAAGTGCCTCATCATTAACTCGACTGTAATGACTCGCCACTAACTCGATTTTGACGAGTTTAAATAATTTAATTTTGTGGTAATTAACATTAAGCCCAATGCTGTAGATCCAGACGACTCGGCGATTCATTGTGATGAGACTTAATGCCAGAGGAATAATGAACGAATAATAAACAATAAAAGTGCTGCAACATCTTCAATAAAACAGAAAAATGTATGATTTTGTCTCTTTTTACTTTAACTGTAGTAGTCTGTTTTTGTTACTAATATTTTTTTTATGCCGTGCACTTCTTCAGACCCTCTTGTGCACCTGTCCTGGATGTTGAATAGAAATGCACATGCAATTCCATTCACATTCATCTTTCAAAGAAGAAAAGTGCATGAAACCACTTTATAACGGCGGACTACAATGTGAAAATGTACTGATAACAGATCACTACATCTTTGAACAGGCAACACACAACTCAAACTGACACGAAACGACTCTGGTTACCTGCTGACTTGATTTCGCTCGTGCTGTGAGGGACATTTAAAGTAACAGGAGCAGCACAACTGCAAGACCACCATCTCGACTGATGAGAGACCGCATTTGAACTCTGTTAAGTGTGATGAGTTAATTTACTGGCTTTGCCAAGTAATACTTCCTGTAATTTTGAGGAGGCACACTGTGAAGGTAATCTACAGAGATCACTGTCAAAGTGCCTTTAAAGAAACAGAGACTATTAAAATGCATGAAATCCTAACGACGCTGCATGACCACCAGCATGGATATCCATTACACTAGGGCTGTTTTTGGCTTTTGCAAAATGGATGAAGTTAAACAGAGGTCTTGGATGAAGTATTGATCAACTGATCATTTTGTTGGCACACAAAATCAAAAACTCATTTTGAAGCATCTTTAAAAAAAATATGCTGATTTGCAAAAAGGCCTAATATTACCAAATTTGACGATGCTACATTTAAACATATCAATAAAAACTTTCCATCATGTATAGTTTTTTTCCCACAAAATACTGTAAAAATTAAAACATTTCAAATTATATATACTTTATGTATGTATCAGCTTATGCACTTATCAAATGACTTATTTTAATGACAAAAAGTATTCAAAATGAATCATATAAGTTATAATATGCAGAAGAGTAGGAAAATATGGTCAAATACTCCATTTAATGTCAAATTTATAAAGGTAAAAAAAAAGTCTGTAATATTCTGTCACTGTTTGTATGTAGTAAAATACCCACATATGTAGCAGAAATCATCTGGATCATGTTTGCATTTTTTTTTCTGTCACTGGCCATAATTTTAACCTTGAAATCAGGATTAGGCATAAATAATGTCTTCAGACTCATTCATAGATGTGAAAACAGGCTGAGAATTGAACAAATAGTTACAGTCTGGCTCAAAATCAGACGGGAATCATGTCTTTGTGACCATTTTTCTGCTGATTAACGATAATACAAGACCTTTTCACCTTACAGGTGGCTGTCGAAAGCACAAATGCTACAAAATGAGTCATATTATGTAAGAAAATGATGACATGCTCAAGCAAAACAGCCACTATTTTTGGAATCAGCCATCCAGAATTTGTAAAAAAAACAAGTATTGGATTTCATTCAGTAAATATGATGCAGGGCAGCGTATGCTCAGCATTATAAAAAAGGGTAAAATATTCCATATGGCATGCAATTTTGCATCCAATAAGAAAAAAAAGAAGAGCTGAAAAGATGCCAAAATACTGATGTACATCTGGACAATAAAAAGCATTTAAAAGTGCAGGTCATCAGCTTTTAAAGCTCTAATGTACTGCTCACATCACTCAAGAGAACTAACAGTGCTTTTGACCCCTTCAGGGAGGAGTTTTTGAAGCTACAGCAGCAAATGAATGGATGTAAAGGTGCATTCTGGACAATGGCTTTGAGCTTCTCTCACACTGACCTTTTCAAGACCAAACCGGCCAACAGCACTTTAGATCCCACATCAGAGACCTGAGGGAAAGGTCAGCTCATCATAATGTCACGGGACGAGCTGAATACAACTACACACGACTGTACATGCACCATATAGGGACTGAGCTGATCTGTGCGGAAAACCAAGACCATTTGCCCTCAATGGCTGGACAGTTGGACAAATTAAGGTTCAAAGAGGCAAGGCTGTAACAGTAAAAAAGAGAGAATGGTTGAATTAAATGCCGGCACATTCCACTGGACTGTAATTTATAAAATAAAATAAAATAAAATAAAATGATCATATGAAATTTAATAGCTATTTATTTATTTTGAAATATTAAGCATGTATAATCTGTTATAATCCAGCTGCATTTATTTGATAAAAAAATACAGTATAAATTTTGAAATATTATTAGAATGTAAAACAGCTGTTTTCTATGTGAATATCTGTTAAACTGTAATTTATTTCTGTGATCAAAGCTGTATTTTCAGCATCATTACTCCAGCCTTCAGTGTCACATGATCTTCAGAAATCATTCTAATATGCTGATTTGCTGCTCGAGAAACATCTCTGATTATTATCAATGTGGAAAACAGTTTTTCAGGATTCTTTGATGAATAGAAAGTTCAAAAGAACAGCATTTATTTCAAATAGAAATCTTTTGTAACATTATAAATGTCTGTACAGGCACTTTTGATTAATTTAATGCATCCTTGCTGGATAAAAGCATTAATATCTTCCAAAATAAAAGACTGCAAACTTGTCGCCTGGTTCTGATGATTCATTTTGAAAAATGCTTGACAATATGTCCATTTATGAGAGTCTGCTGGCTCAAAAAAGCACATTCAGGCTGAAAAGAACAAACTAAGAGTCACTGTGTAATTAAGTGTGGAAAACATCTTGTGCCTTACATACTTTCACTCTTGAAAGCGCAGCTGGTGGTGGGTTTGTAGGTCCATCAGCAGTCAAGACGTCTGGGAGAAGTGTGCCTGATTTCAAGGACAGCTGGGTCACTCTGTGCCAACATGCGAGCGAACACACGCCGCAGACAGACGGCACTCAGACTACCTGTCATCTACATTCACCTCACTCACGCTGCTCAGGAACGATGAAAGCAGAGCAAAGAGATCGGAGCACGAATGATTAACAAACACATCAGGGAGAAGCAGCCTCTCAGTGAAAGTGCTGCTGAAAGCAGCATGGTGCAAATGCAAAGGAGAAGGAGGGGATGAAAAGCACTGGAGCTGGAGGAACGAGACGTTTAAAATGTCATAAAAGCAGCAGGGTTTCAGCAGGGATCAGCAGACGGGAGCCGCATGTCATTCAACTACAAATAATGATTATCTGTCACTTTAACAGACTTGGTTGTTCATTTTCAGTCATGCTCTGTTTTTATTTTAGACCATTTCATTTCTGAATGCACAGTATACACAGTATACATAAATTCTTTTTTAAATGTTTATATATAGAAAATTATATAGTACACACATAAAATGTATTACATTTATACCATATATATTATAATAAATACATAATACATGTTTATAATACTTAAATATAAAATAAATATAATATTATAATATATATTATATGCATATGTATGTATATATATATATATATATATATATATACATAAATTATACATATTTTTCATTTTAAAATGTTTATATATGAAATTATTCATTTATTTACATTCATAATAAATGTACATTATTTTATATTATGCATATAATATTTACATATTTTATATATACACACACACACATATATATATATATATTTTTTTTATATTTACATCCAAAAGGGAAAGAAATATCCTTTTTTAACTCTTTCCCCGCCAGCGTTTTTGCATTTTTGACGATTTTCAGTAAAATTTCATGGCCCCCAGAATATGTTTTTGTATGAATATCTGAACATGCAAAACATCAACACTTGAATGTAGGTAAGTTTTGTTAAAAAAGCAACATTTTGAGCAATTTCATCAACATCATACTACATCTGGATCAGATTCAGTACGATGATCAGAGCAAAGATGCAGTAGATGGTTTCCATCAGTACTCCCAAAGCTTGCACAGGCCTTTACCAATTTCTGGATCGACATTTCACTCAGTTTTCATTTATATGCTGTTTATTGTTGATGATCACATTATTTTTCATATGCATATGCTTACATATGAGATCGCTCGTTTCTGCATCTTCCTCGCCTGTGTTTTTGATCGGCACTTTCTAGACTCATTCAGGAGATGCGTAATAGCGCCCCCGAGTGTATAACAGTGAAAACACAGAAACACGGAAAATTCTGTGTTTGGCGGGGAAAAAGCTAATGCACTGATGTCTACTGGAAGAAGGTTTTCCACTATAGTCGTATGGACTCACCTGCGATATATCTGCTCCGCCTGCAGATGGCGCCCGTCTTTGAGCAGCTGAACGTCGTTGAAGAGGAGCCGGATCATGCCGTCGGCTTTGTCCAGATCCCTCTCCAGCTCAACCGTGTGCTGCGCTGGTTTCCCGGCACTCAGGAGACGGATATCCTGCAACAAAAGTCAAAGTCACTACAATGCAAAGTTTATACAGCAACTTCATAGTTTACACTCACATTTGTGACCCTGGACCACAAAACCAGTCATAAGGGTCAATTTTTCAAAATTGAGATTTATACGCTGAATAAATACTCTTTCCATTAATGTATGGTTTGTTATGATAGGACAATATTTGGCTGAGATACAACTATTTGAAAATCTGGAATCTGAGGGTGCAAAAAAATCTAAATATTGAGAAAATCATCTTTAAAGTTGTTCAGATGAAGTTCTTAGCAATGCATATTACTAATCAAAAATTAAGTTTTGATATATTTACGGTAGGAGATTTACAAAATATCTTCATGGAACATGATCTTTACTTAATATCCTAATGATTTTTGGCATAAAAGAAAAATCAATAATTTTGACCCATACAATGTATTGTTGGCTATTGCTACAAATATACCCCAGCGACTTAAGAATGCTTTTGTGCTCCAGGGTCACATATTATAATTATAATACAGTGTATATAATACAAAAACAATGCATATTATATACATTTATGCAATAAACATGAAATGTCATATGTATGTAATATGTATTATAATATTTATGGTATAAATTTTATGTGCACTATATTTATGTATATACATTTTTCCTATATATAAACATTTAAAAATGTATACATACAAAATCATATTCAATGTATGTTTATATATACAATCCCAGTAAGTGTATGTGATCCCGAATAGACCGGTGTCAGACTGCATCTTGTTTTAAATGAGCCTCAGTTCACCTGTCCATAAATGTAGAAACTCTCTCATAAACAATGCGTGCTGCACACAGGTGTCCTGATCGAAAGCCTGTCGCTTTGTCAGCATGAAAATAAACATATGCAACTCATGTTTCAGTGCGGGATCAAATCACCGTTTGAAGCGCCTGCCATCGGAAAAGGTCACATGCAGATATGAATAATTATGCGACAATGCTTTCTCATAGGATAGGATTTCTCATAGGACAGGCCACACAGGCTCATGAATGATAGTGAGACGGATGATGTTGAGTCACTGCTGACTTCAAACCCGGAAGAAAATCCCTCCACAAAAAACCTAAATTAAACTCTACACTACCAGAAAGTTGAGACACACATAGAGAGGTGTGCTATAGAAAGACACATGTGGACATGAATAACGGAGGAATATAAGAGGAGACGAGGAGAGACTCACCGGGAATGTTGTGTATGGTGATGGCCAGGATCAGCAGAACGATTCGCCTCCAGCTGCTTCCTGTTTGACCGCTCACTTCCTGTGCTGTAGGACTCAGGTCATGCTCCTCTGTGTGGCCGGTGTTGAGACCCCTGCGTCTCTGATACACCTCTCCATTCTCGATTTTATCTAAGAGAAACAGGAACTGCATGTCAAACATCTTCTCCAACATCATTTTTTTGGAGAACGCCACATTTCAATATGCAAATTACACAAACCCTGAAAGGATCAATAAAACAATTCATTAGTCAGTATATAATCACACAATCTGAACAGGGCTGTGAACCTAAAAAAAGCTGTAAACTAAAAAAAGAAAATGAAAAGACGTTAAAACGGCTGATAAAATGAGACCTCTCGGGGCTGACCAGCAACATTTTCTAACGCAATTTCTTTCACTGACCGTTTGTTGAAGTCAAGCCACATTAACTTAAATAGTGTTTTATACAATACAGTAAAAAACTGGAAAATAACTGTGTTAATACTGCAAAAATCATCAATTATGAAACTAAATTTCAGGTCTGCAGAATGTTTGCCAGCCAGCCAGACAGACAGACAGCCAGACAGACAGACAGACAGATCGACAGACAGACAGACAGACAGACAGACAGACAGACAGACAGACAGACAGACAGACAGACAGATACATAATTACTATATTGTATGTAGTACACATATATTTTATATTTTTATATTTATATATCATTGAAAAAAATCGTCAACTATAAAACAAATTGATTTTCAGTTGTTTTTCCAACAGCAGACAATAGTGTCAATATTCAGCTTAATTCAGTTCAATGCTGATTGAATTTATTTCAATAATTTTGTTTATGTTGTGCTTGAAAAGACCTTGAAAGTGAAGGAAGAAAAAAAAAAACTTTTGTTTGTGTGTTTCAGGCCTTGTTTGAGTACCTTGCTCATAAAATGTGCCGATAAATTGATCAAATCAAACACAAAGTGCAAGATAAAATATTAACTAATCAGTTGTTTAGTCTCAGATTGAGCCTGCTGAGTTCAATACATCCAATAAATCATTACTGTAGTCTCATTACTGTAGTCTCATTACTGTAGTCGAATTGTTTTCCCTTGATCAATATGAAGACACTGCTAATAATCATCAGAATGTAAAAAAACGAACGGCTCTTTTCAAAGCTGACCTGAGCTTTTATCTCCTCAAGGAACCCTCAAATCTCCCACTGTATTTATCACAGCTTTTATCGCTACTTAAACGTCAATTGTCAAATCATTTATTTCCTTCGCTATCACTATAAAAAGGAGGGAAAAAATGTATCGGGAGTGCATCTGAAAGTCCACCAATTACCCATCACTTTAGAGCGCAATTATGAATGCATGCGGTGAGAATTAGCAAATAGAAGACAATGACACTGATGACCCTCAATTGTCCTCACTGAAACACGTCTCTCAATCACATAATGAATGCAGATTACTTGGGCTTAAAGGTCATGAGGAGCACATCCGTCATGTGTGATCGCCGGAGCACACACAGAAAAAGACTGGAGGATTTTCAGATGAGGGCTGAGGTGAGTTCACATGCGGAGTATGAAACATCATCACATGTGAATTAATTATGAGGGAAGGACAACATGCGAAGGCCGAATCTCTTCATGAATGATAACGCTGTTATAATGGCCAGATAATGGCCAGATACAATAGTCCAGTATCGAAATTTCCTCTGCAGCAAAAATTTTTTTCAAAATATGTTGTATAGCCATAAAATGAAAGCAATGTGCATTTCATGAATATTCACTGAGAAATTATGGTAACACTTTACAATAAGGTTCCATTTGTTAAATTTAGTTAATGTGTTAACTGACACGAACAAACAATGAACAATACATTTATTACAGTATTTATTAATCTTTCTTAATGTTAGTTCATGAAAATACAGTCGTTCACTGTTAGTTCATATTAGTTCACAGTACATTAACTAATGTTAACAAGCACAACTTTTGATTTTAATAATGCATTAGTAAATGTTGGAATTAACATTAACTAAGATGAATAAATGCCGTTGAAGTATTGTTAATTCTTAGTTCATGTTAACTAAGGTTAACTAATGAACCTTATTGTAAAGTGTTACCGAAATTATAGTATTAATTAATACAAAAAAATAATACAATTAATAAAGATAATTAATAAAAATAAAATTAATAAAATAAAGTACATAAATATATAAATAGAAATGTGGCACTTTAGGTTGCATTTTATTTAATAATTCAACTGGAGCAAGTTGCAGAGCCATAAAATGTAACAAGCAATGTGCATTTAATGAATATTCATTGAGAAATAAAATAAAATAAAATAATGTGGCACTTTTATTTGCATTTTATTTCATAATTCAAACGTAACTAGCAATGTGCATTTCATGAATATTCATTGAGAAATAAAATAAAATAAATAAAATAAAATAAACGTGGTACTTTTGTTTGCATTTTATTTAATAATTCAACTGGAGCAAGTTGCAGAGCCATAAAATGTAACAAGCAATGTGCATTTCATGAATATTTATTGAGCAATTATATAAATAATTTAAAAAAGTAATACAATTAATTTAAAAATTATTAAAATAAAATAAAATAAACAATTAATAACCACAGCAACTATGCTGCACAGCCATAAAATGCAACATGCATTGTGCATTTTAATAAATATACATTAAGAAATTATAGAAATAATGATTTTAGAAAATAGTACAGATGTCATTTCAGCCTCAGTGAGGCTTAGTCCTGCTTTAATTAATGAGATGCAGGGTTATTATCATTAACCAGAAGCCAATCAAATCAAATAAAGAAAAGAATGAATATATATATATATATATATTTAACTGGAGCATAAAGCATGCCACAGATGAGCGATAGAGAAGATATTCACACTGATAGCTGAATTAATTGCAGATTCTTAGATGAAAGCCTTAGATGAACAATAATTTGTTGTAATTTTTTCAGGTTGGCAGCCACAATATCTCTAAAATTAATAAATAATATATCTGAAACGGTCAAAACAGTCTGTCCAAAACAGCTACTTTGTCCATTATAGAATCTGAACTGAAACTTTATTTGTACCGTAAAATCCAAAATGCACATTAATTTAGCTTAGATCTGCTTATGGAATCACACGATGAGTGATGCTGCTGCCTGGATGTTGCAGTGAAATACAAGACTGTGATTTTTAGGTGTTTGCCCATGCAAGCATCACTGGGATGAGGTTAGGTTGCTTTTGTGATTTCTTGTTCAGTCAAACAAGTTCACACTCAAATCTTTATGATACTCTGGTGCCTAGATATGACTCAGTTGTTCCCTTGATGTAAGTATATGTCATTTTCTGCACTTGTTTAATCGTCTGCCAGGTGAAAATAGTTTAGAAAATTAATAGCACACCCTTCACAAGCCATGCAAATTGAGATATCATTCATGTTCACAGATTGTCTTAACAATAATTAGTTGTTTCATGGATTGTAGCATGCAGAATTGCACTCAGGAAAATAAAACCACTTTGCTATCGCTTAATAAGCAACTTAATAAGCATCCAGTGAATCCATGCAAACACAGGCCTGATACTGTCCACATCACTAAAATATTAGTGACAATATAACAGTGTGGCATAAACAAAAAAAAAACATATCTTCAACTCAAACATATTTTGATTTAAAGGTCAGAACAGCGTGCCAGAGAAGACCAGGCTGCTATTTGTGTCGATCAAATTCTCTCCACAGGCGTCCGGTTTTTCTGTTGATTACAGCTTGTTTGCTGGTTTTCTTGACAATATGCTAATGTGTGCTCTGCAGCTACATCCCATATCACGGATTGATTTGCATATGCTTGGTTTGGCACCAGGAGGCTCAAATCTGTCTTCAGCAATCAGTCACAAGGCCTTTTCAAAACAAATTATACTTGCACAATATGCGGCGTAAAGAGAAAGACGAGTATGTGACAGTTTAATAACTTGTTGGCCTTGAAAAATTTGTGATAACTGAAGTATAAGGAACTAAAAGTGCAAAAAAAAAAACAAAAGTTGTGAAGATAGCATGTCAAAAATCCTATTAACTTACAAAAGTTTGAGGTTGGTAAGATTTTTTATGTTTTTGAAAGAAGTCTCTTATACTCAGTAAAGTTGTGAAAATACACAGTAAAAATTGTGAAATATTATTACAATTTAAACTAGCTGTTTTCTATGTGAATATCTGTTAAACTGTAATTTATTTCTGTGATCAAAGCTGAATTTTCAGCATCATTACTCCAGTCTTCAGTGTCACATGATCTTCAGAAATCATTCTAATATGCTGATTTGCTGCTCAAGAAACATTTCTGATTATTATCAATGTTGAAAACAGTTGTGCTGCACAATATTTTTGTGGAAAAATAAATATACTTTTATAGAAAGTATAAAAGAACAGAATTTATTCGAAATATAAATCTTTTTGTAACATTATAAATGTCTTTCCTGTCACTTTTGTGTCCTTGCTGAATAAAAGTATTACTTAAAAAAAAAAAATAATAATAATAACACCCCAAACTTGGTGTATGGTAATTTATAGGGCTTTAAAACACATGAAATATTACATGTATTTCTATACTTACAGTATATGGTCTTTTATGCCCTTTCTGGAGCATGACAGCTACTGTCTACTTCCTTTGCACGACATTCATCCCGACATCTTTTGTGTTCGACAGAATAAATAAAGTCACATGAGTCTGACTGATATGCATTTACAGATATAACACACTGATCCTGTCAAATACACTACAGCTTGATTCACTGCAATGATTTTACCCAAAACAAAGCAGGAGACATCAGCACCCTCTACTGGCCGGCTGTGGCCCGCTGGGGCATTTTAACCCAATTCAGGGCCACTGTAATGCCAATCTAATCACATGCACTTTTACATAAACGCCCACACACACACACACAGTCCTTTCTTATATTTTCCCTCAACTCCTCCATCATATGCAGGAGATTTATAGAAATCAAACCGTGCATACTCCACTGGCAGTGACTGCAACACAACATTTGCCACTCTGAATATTTTACACCGGTTATGAGCTTGCTGAGCTTTTGTCTGCGAGTCCAAGATCCAATCATTCAAATGCTGACATTACAAGCACGTCACGTAT